GCATCGAGCTTGGCGCCGAGAAGACGCTGCAGTTCTCCAGGGGAACCACGGTGGTGGAGTCCATCAGCCACTCCGTGTCCGTGGAGCTCTCCGTCCCGCCGAACCACTCCTGCAGAGTCCGCATGGAGGGGCGCAAGATGAAAGCCGACATCCCGTACACGGCCCGCCTCAGCCGCACCTACCGCAACGGAGAGACCCAGTGGACGTCCGTCTCCGGGACGTACGACGGCGTCCAGATCGGAGAAGTCCGCGCCGTGGTGGACCGCTGCGAGCCGGTGGCCGACGCGCTGCCGTGCGCCTGAAAGACTGATGGAGGAAAGCACCAAACACGTCAAAATCTGATGTCAAAAGCAAAATAAAACATAATGACAAAGACGTCTTCTGTGTGTGAATATGTGTGTGTCTGTGTGTGTGTGTGGAATATATTTTGTCTCAGCTGGTTGCTGAAAGAAAATGGGGGAAATATATTAAAGGAATTAAAAAATCATCTGGAACTTTTTTCTTTTTCATTACTTTAAATGTCTTCGCATTGAAAATGACATTTTTACAATATATGATATTAGATAAACAACTTACACAAACGATGATTTGTATCTATCTGACAGCTGGAATTACTACTGGATAAGTTGTACAAAAGAAACGCATGTGAATAAATAATGAAAAGAAATGCACAATAAGTTAAAGGGGTTTGCATACAAACGGCACTATTCACTTTTATCACATCATTATCTGAAAGATGCCTAATGAATCTTTTTGCAAATGCAGAGCCAGAGTTATGAGTTAACTCGTCATGAATAAAATATATTCAGCAAGTTTGAATGACTCCAGTTTTTGGGGATTTGCTCAAACTAAAACCATCACAACAATACTTCTAATAAGAAAAATGAAGACATGACATGCAAACACGTACATATGCTTTGATAGTGACATCCGTTGATGAGTTTCCATGCTCAAGTCCTGCAGAGTCCCGACCGGATCGCGACTGTTTCAAAGCAGCAGGTTTCACTCCAACGAGCGACCGTGTTGCCTGGTGACCTTCAGAAGAGAACGTCAGTGGTGTTTAAAAAGCACAACGAGGACACCGGAGCATCCGTGGAGATATTAGACTCCCTCTGCAGAGAAAGAGTCTTCCCCTAATGTCTGTACCATGTCTATAGGGTGCTTAGCTTAGCATTTAGCCCAAAGCACAGCCATGTCTCAGTAGACATTTCTTTCTTTAGTTCACAGGACGGCTCCCAAGGTCCCTCAGGCCTTATTGGTGGATGTAAGGGACCTCATTCAGACTGGAGTAAATTGATGACCAGTGGCCTTGCGACGGGCCTCAGGGTGGCCGTGGCGTCTCCACCGTCGCGCTGTGCGTGCACAACAATGTCTCCTGTAATCTTCCTGCTGGAGCTTATCTAAACTTTACAGTATCTCGCCATCGGAGGACGAAGAGCGCCGCGGCACTTTGGACCTCTGTCGCCCCGCAGAGATACCGGACCTCAAGTCCAGGCCAATCATTTACTCAACTCTATTAGGGGAATAAAAGAGTCCATTCACAGCAGGAGGAGGGCTGCTGTTCTAAGGGATCAATAAAGAGGCCTCTTATCATTATCATAAACCTTTCACTGCAGCACGTTTCCAAGCCGAGGACAAAGAAGGTCAGAAGCCTGATACAAATCTGGTTCTGCAGAAGCAACCAAAGGAAACGTCTTTCTGAGGACGTTTCACACGCTGATCATCATCATCAGCGGGTGGATGTGGGTCTCTGTGTGGAGCTTTGAATCTCTAGAGATGTTCTGGCCGATCGATGAGCCTTCATGGGGTGAATCCCACTGCAGCACAGCGGACTGAACCATTCTGAGCCTTTCCTGAAGGGGGGGCGGTTCTCTCTCAAACAGCGTTATTCAATCGATTTTTAACCTATTTATGTTAATGATTGTTTACAATAAATAAATGATACAAAAAACTGTATTCATATTTATTTACCAAGGTTTATAAACTACTATAATTACTGTGTTCTTTATTGTGTATCTTTATTGCTTTCTGAGAAATAACTACTGGATAAAGCATCCCAAAGAGAAAAAAACAGCCTTATTTTAAAAGCTGTTTTTATTTAACCCACACATAAATAAAATATTTTGTAAAACTATCTAAAAACTTCATAAATACCCCCCCCCCCCCTCCCCCATTCTACCCCCCCAGCTTTGTCTGCGGGAGGTTTTAAAACTCGCCTCAAGCTGCAGGCGGCGTCACAGCAGGAGGAACCTGTCGAGGTAAAAGCTGCTTCTCTGACACTCTGACAACGACAACTTTTCTCTCTCTGATTTCTATGAATTGATTGACGATCAGAATTAATAATAAGTTGCTGTAAAATACGCAAACCAGAAACAATTATTTCTATTGTTTTTTTCATGCTGGAACAGATAATAACGTATTGAAGTGACAAGGCGTGAAATGGCATCAAGTTATTCATAATGTAACAATTGTCTAAACGTGTTATTCATCTAATGCAGCGACACCATTTGTGTTTATTATATTTAATCATTGCACGTGGTTTATAGTATTACTCAGTTATTAAATATATTCTGCATCTACTGAATTAAATGTTGTTGTTAGTTTGAAATAAAACAACAAAACTCTCTGTACTACCAACAAATGATCTAAATACGTGATGTCATGGAGAAGAAATAAGAAGTGATTGAGTTTTGAACAAAATGCAGATTCCTTCATGTGAAGATATAAACTTATTACTATTGTTAACATCACAAATTCAATCAGTTTTTCAGTGTAACAATCTGTATTCTCTGCATGTTGTTAAGTGAGATGATCCCCTTTTGAATATTTTAATAGATAAAAAAATGTTGGACCCTTTTTAAAGGAGCGTTACGCGGCGTCTAACCTTTAATGACGGCCTGGACGGGTCCTGGTTTTTGCTTTGTGTGCGTGGCTCATCTCCTTCAATGCTCCTCAAATCAAATCAAACAAAATCCTACTTTCACAACAAAGCAGGATTTTCAAAATAATGCACCGTTTTAAAATGAGTAATTCATCAGGCAAGGAGGCGACCCCCTTCACACCTCCACCCTCCATCCTCCACCCGGTGCCTCCCTCCTCTGTTTGTTTGACGCCACGTGTGCTTCCTGCGTGTCTCCAGATGTTCAGGTGGTGCGTCGCGGTCCTCTTGGCGGTGCTGCAGCTGTGCAGCCCGGCGCTGCTCCACGTGTCCCGGCAGCAGGACGGGCGAGAAGAACCCAGCAGTGAGTCGCGCTCGGCAATACCACCTCACCATGCCGCTCATAATGGCCGCAGCAGGCGTTGGTTTCCAGCCTTTTATTTTGAAGTATTCATGCTGCCGGATGTATGAGGCGTCTCCTGATGTCTCCCTGTCGTTGCAGAGCCGTGGCTGAACGCCGCGCTGGAAGACGTCGTCCCTTCCCGGGAAGCCGCCCGGCCCCCCAAAATCAGTGAGATCCCAGAAACGGAGGCGTCCTCCCGCTCCGCCCCCATGTTCGGTGAACACGCCAACCTCAAGTGGGTGACGTGGACCGGCCAACTCCCGAGCGGCGCCGTGGCCATCTTCAACGGCTACGCCGAACGCACCGACTACGTGTGCAAAGTCAACTGCCAGTCCGGCTTCTACTCGCCTGACAAAGGGAGCCTCTGCCGCTACCCGTACGCCGACCAGGAGTACGCCTCCGCCACATTCCAGATGCTGGTCAACGTGGACCACTTCGAGTTCCTGGAGTGGGTGGAGGGGTCGTACGGGTCGGTGCCGGGTTACGCCGTCAGGACCTGCCCCGGCTCCGACATCTTCGTGGGCAAAAACAAGTACGGCCTGGGCAAAGTGGTGCCCCAGCACAAGGCCTTCTTCCTCCCCTGGGAGGGGGACGAGTACTGGTACAAGAGCTACCAGGTCCTGGCCGTCAACCGGGACGGCTACAGCCAGCACGTCTCTCACGTGGAGTACGGCGTCGACCGGATGGAGCTCTTCCACCACCCCCCCGAGGCCCTGCAGCTCGCCACGGTCACCAACCTGGAGTGCAGAGACGTGGCGAAGACGGTGCGGCTGGAGAAGACCAGCTCGGTGGGGAAGACCTGGGACATCGGCAGGGAGACCCGCAACGGGTCCGTCTCCACCATGCAGGCCAAGGTGCCCATCCTGGGCCCCGGGACCGTGGACTTCACCAAGGAGCAGACCGTGACCTTCTCGGAGGGAACCAGCGTGGTGGAATCCATCAGCCACTTTGTCTCCGTGGAGCTGCTGGTGCCGCCCAACCACTCGTGCGCCGTGAGGATGGACGGCAGGAAGATGACGGCCGACATCCCCTTCACCGGCAGGCTGAGCCGGACCAACCGCAACGGGGACACGCGCTGGACCTACATCACGGGCGTCTACGACGGCGTGAGCGTCGGCGAGATCAACGCCGTGGTGGAGCGGTGTCAGCCGGTGGCGGACTCCGTTCCCTGCTCGCCGACTGGAGGCTGACCGCCGGTCCGCTGGAAAGAACATAACTCTGTTTTCAAAAATAAAAATTTTCAAAATAAAATCCTATCATGAAAATAAAGGTCTTTTCTCTTTGTCGACAGTTAATTGCAGCTTGAAAGTAGATTTCTGATTATTTATTTAATTACTACTCAAATTACACGGATGTACGTTAGATTTTTTAAATCCCTCCCCTCAATTCTTTATTACAATTTCTTGCCCAATGAAAGTTATTATCAGATTATTCATTCAACCCCTTGAATCACATGGTTCATTAATGTTTTCATAATTACACTGAAAGACAACAAAATAAATAACTTTCAACCTTTGATTAGTTATTTATTTATTATTATATTGTATGGTTATATAATGTCCTTGAAGTACACATGTCTAGACATATTGTCTATATGTATAAGATGAATAAGAATATAAGTATAGTATAAGTATATATGTATAAGAATATGTATAAGATGATATGATTATATGTATATGAATGTACAGCATGTACAGCATGTGAACCTGTGTATGTTGCCGTGCGGTTCCCTGCCGCGCCGCCGGGGGGCGCTGCGGTGCCGCAGCAGCGCAGACCAGCACACAGCGTTTGTCTTTGAACCTCTTTGGCGTGCGAGCGCGTGAGCAGGACGAGCGGCTGATGTCACCTCGCGTGAGACTTTACAGTCATTTAAACTCCCCGTTTGTTTGTTATCGGCGTGTTTGTCAGCCGCGCCGGTTTGGACGCAATTAGCTGCTGTTGTTGTTGTTGTTGTCTGTGAGCTAGCCGACAAGCTACAGTAAGCTAACCCTACTAGCCGGCTAGCACGTTAACCACTTTCAATACAATGTGACAAACAAACCAAGCAAACGGCTCCTCTTCTCCTGCAGGAGCTCCTTCACACAATGACTCCCACTCGGTTCTATTTAAAATAAATCTAAATACATTTAAAGTAAATCCTTTCGGACCGGAAGCCTCGTTTCATGCCGCTAAATGCTGAAAAAGTCTCAAATGTGACTCTATCGACACCAGCTGGCCGTCCGTCCACGGGCCGATCTGACGACGTCCCCGTTTTCAGCACTTTGTGCCGTTATTTTTCTCTCCTGATCAAGAAGCTGCGGAGCTTCGTCACGATGCGGCGACTCTTGACCAGAGTCCTGAACCGGGTTCTGCTGAGCGGGCCGGTCGCCCCGGCGATGCGCGTCGAGGCGGAGATGCACACGGAGGGCCGCCGGAGGCTGGTGAGTGAGAGAGCTCCCCACATCTGCATCGACCTCCACACATCTGCATCGACCTCCACACATCTGCATCGGGTCCACTGCTCCGTGGCTCCTGTCAGCAACCTGACCAAACGCGTCCACACGCCTGATGGACAAAGTATCCATCCCATAATATACGTTTAAAGGCTCTGCCTGGATCCGTCTCCTGTCACGTCTATAGTGGCCGTGTGTTTCATCGGCTGCGTGTCATGTGTCATGTACCGGCCTTAAATGGATGGGTTGTAGAATGGAGTCTGGTGGCTCTTTCTCTCTGCTCCTCACTATCTTTAAAGGGGCAGTTTGCACAATGGGATCAACCACAGACAAAATATGATAATCAAGTACTATAACATTCAGTTTTTAATAATCTGTCATTCTCTTAGTTAAGTCCCATTCAAACAAATACAAACTGTGGTGTGTGGAGGCGGCGCACAATGTGTGCAGTGTGTCAGCAGCTATGGAGTCTGACGCGACGTGTGGAACAGCACCGTCAGCACCATCAGTACCGTCAGCACCATCAGTACCGTCAGTGCCAGGCGGCAGCTGCACATCTCTTGTTTTAGAGGAACATCTGGCCGTGTAGAAGCAGTCGTTCCTGAAGCTTTTCTTTGAATGTGTGTCGACCTCATGAGGCTTAAAGAAGCACAACGGAGTCTGTAAGGAGGAGGACAACGTTCTATACGGACCAGCTCACAGCGCTGCACCAAAAATAAACAACAGAAATAAAAACATTTATGCATTTTAAGCGTCATTTAAAGTTTGGAGAACAAAAAACAAAATCTGCAACATGTGTCAGACTTTAAAGTGGATGAAATCATTGTTTCATGCTGCATTTATTTATTTGTGTCTCTTCACTGAGGTTCTCAGAATGTGGTCGAAACAAAGAAAAACACAATATACGTATTAAAGATACATTAAAAGAAATGCAAAGATAATATGCGAAATAATAGACTAAATCACCAGAAGAGCTCAATAATCTTGAGTCATGTACGTGAGTTATGTACATTTTACATGTATATGTTGTATTCATAGCATAATAACGTTGCTCGTGTCCCAGGTGGTGGGGTTGGGCAACCCGGGCATGGAGGGCACCCGGCACAGCGTCGGCATGGCGGTGCTCGGCGCGCTCGCCGCCAGGCTCGGCGCCGCCGACCGTTGGCGCGGCGACGGGCGCGTGTCCGGCGAGGTGGTGGTGTCAGAGGTGGAGCGGACGCACGTGGTGCTGCTCCGCCCGCGGCTGCTGATGAACGTCAACGGCGTGTCGGTGGCCAAAGCGGGTGAGGTCATTATTATTATTATTATTTTACAGTTCGTTTAGTTTATTTATATCCTGAAGCTGCTCCCACTGCTGGGTCTATAGATTGACTATAACTGTAAATAGACTATAGACTATAAATAACTAAATAGACTATAGATAGACCATAGACTATAAATAGACTATAAATAACTATAAATAGACTTTAGATAGACTATAAATAGACTATAGACTATAAATAACTAAATAGACTATAGATAGACCATAGACTATAAATAGACTATAAATAACTATAAATAGACTTTAGATAGACTATAAATAACTACACTATAGATAGACTATAAATAACTATGACTAGACTAAATAACTATAAATAGACCATAAATAACTATAGATAGACTATAAATAACTATAATAGACTATAAATAACTATAAATAAACTATAGATAGACTATACATAACTATGACTAGACTAAATAACTATAAATAGACCATAAATAGACTATAAATAACTATAAATAGACTACATATAGGGGGCGGCACGGTGGCGTGGTGGTTAGCACCGTTGCCTCACAGCAAGAAGGTCCTGGGTTCGATTCCGCCCAGTGGCCTTTCTGTGTGGAGTCTGCATGTTCTCCCCGTGTCTGCGTGGGTTCTCTCCGGGTTCTCCGGCTTCCTCCCACAGTCCAAAGACATGCTCTGGGGATCAGGTTAATTGGTGACTCTAAATTGCCCGTAGATGTGTGAATGTGAGTGTGAATGGTTGTATGTCTCTGTGTAGCCCTGCGATTGGCTGGCGACCAATCCAGGATGTACCCTGTCTATCGCCCGAAGTTGGCTGGGATGGACTCCAGCCCCCCCGCGACCCTGTGTGCAGGATAAGCGGTTTGACAATGGATGGATGGATGGAGACTACATATAGACTATAAATAACGATGACTAGACTAAATAACTATAAATAGACTATAGATAGACTATAGAAACATCTGGGTGGATGTTGGAAGGAATCTGATGTCATGTGACCTAAACTCTGCCTTTGTGCGTCCCAGCTGGTAAATTTGGTATCAAGCCCGAGGACATCGTGCTGGTCCACGACGAGCTGGACAAGCCTCTGGGGAAAGTGGTCATCAAGCACGGAGGAAGTGCCAGGTGGGTTTCCTGCTTCCTACTTCCTGCTTCCTGTCGCCAGGTTTCTTTTCTGGGTCCGTTTTATCTCATGAAGGTTCCTCGCTGAAGTATCTAAGTGTCCTTTGTGACAAAAGCTGTCTGACTCCACTAGGAGGTAGGAAGGAAAGGTGCTTCAATGCTTCCTTTATTCGCTCCTTTAGCATAGGAAACTCTGGACTGTCCTTAATCAAAGGATAGTAGATCATTCCCACAATGCCTTGCGGCGGCAACAATCCAGACAGACTTGTTGACATTTGAACAATGCTTTATTATAACAGGCATAAATATTTATATTGCCAAGTTGTTTGGGGCTTGGACTCCATCCTGCCGTAGGACCAGGGGCCGGGATGCCGAGACCCTGACGAGGCGTGTCCCCCCCTTTGGGAGTCCAGACCCTGGTGGTAAAGGATAAGTTGCTCCTCATATGCCAGGTTCTGCTGTCGATCGGAGGTGTCAGGGGGGGGCGGGTTGCGTGCTGACATGACAACTGACAGCAAACGAGAGGGGAACGCTTTTTAACGTTTACCTGCACCGATGCAGTTCGTTCACGGTAACGACCCCCACGTCTGGTTGGCTGGTGCTTAAATCAGCTGGCCGTGACCCCCCAGGGAGAGAGGAGGCCACCAGGGAACCGGTCTTCCTGACTGAACTTCCTGTATATCGTGTGAGGTGTAGAGATGAACATAATCACAGATGTAATAAATAGTGGGATTCTTAATGTAACTTGTTGTGCAATAAAATGTCTCAGCTGTTTAAAGGTTCCTGTAAGGATGTGAAGTGACCTTTGACCCCATGTCGTCTCTCAGAGGTCACAACGGCGTCCGTTCCTGTGTCGACTGTCTGCAGACGGATGTGAGTGACGCTCCACTGGTTTGATGTGAAGCCGCGTGTTTAAGAGACAATTATGTTAATTGTGTACAACGTTAATTAATGTGTGTTTATGTTGTTAAAACGTCCCTGTCTCCCTCGCAGGTGATGCTCCGCCTCCGCGTCGGGATCGGGCGCCCGCAGGGGAAGACGCCGGTGGAGCGGCACGTCCTCGGCCGCTTCTCCTCTGAGGAGAGGAAGGTCCTGGAGTCCGTTCTGGAGCAGAGCGTGGACCTCCTCCTCGCCCAGCTCTCCCCCCCTCCCTCCGCCTCCTCCTCGCCAGCAGGGGGCGGGAGGGAGAGCTCCAAGACGTGAAGCTCTGGCAGGGAGAAGACCTTCACTATTTCAGAATAAAAGTCTCCTCTGTGCAGCACATCGGATGAAACAAACCAGGGATTTGCTCAACACGTGTTTGTTCATTATTCTCCATAAATTAAAGAGACTGAAATTAAGTCTCTAGATATTTATTTTATAACTCAAGGCTCAATTTCTCCTTCTTTTGTGAACAAAACATATAGGTTTCCATCTCATTC